TTTGTTTTTTTTTAACTTTTGCTAATCTTTTAATCTATTTATATATGGATACCAAAACTATAAGGGCTATTTACCAGATTCATTATTGAGGTCACTACCATTCTTTTTACATTCATCATCAAAATTTTCCTTGCAAAATTTTCGTAACTGAGTAAACTCTTCTTTCAAATATGTGTTAAGAATTTCTTCGCCAGTAACCAATTTAAAGTTGCATAAATAAAGAAATCCCATTTCAATCTTAAATAAATCTTTCAAGTTGACACCACCGACTGTAGCAAATGATTTCTGCTTCTGATACACATCTTCCAAAATTTTTGTCAGACTCCTTATCAGAGCCAAAATCAAGCGATGAACATTATAATCCGTTAGACGAACAATATCAAGTAAAATGCATAACTTAAAAATCAAATATGCCGAGTGTATATATACCAGAACCGAGGTTGATGACGAATACGTCTTTATTCTCATTAAAAATTGTTCTATTGAAAGGGCTGGAATACTCACTAAATTAAACGACTTTAGCAAGAGGGCATTTTGGCTGCTAACTTTATTAGCGAGATGGTACTCTATTTCAGTACGTAGTCTGTGAGAGTCTTGTAACGTTATTTGATTAGAAACCTTCTCAATTGACGTATTCTTTATTAATTCATGGATACGAATATAAGGTGGATCAATATCACCTAAAGCTTCATTTTCTGCATTTCCGTTCAATATATGATCCTCAATTTTATCTTCATTGAACAACGAATCGGGTGTTCTATCTTTTATGAAGTCATCATTGGTCCCCTCAAAATTATTATGTAGCCTAGCAAATTTCAACGGTGGAGAGACTGAAGGACTACGTAATTTCTCTGTCGGTATCTTCTTAGTATCAGCACATCCATTCTTTTTCTCTCCATGTAAAATATCGATGTCCACCAGAAGCTTTTCCAATTGTTGCCTTCTAAATTTCTTAAATAACAATTCGTCCGCCTGTAACTTTATTAAATCTTGCAAACAAGAGCTAAATATAGCTATTGCGTGGAATGCATTTAATTTATTGATGTCTTTCAAGCCATGCTCCAAATCAAACGCTAATTCGCTAATATCAATGTCTTCTAATGAACATGGCTCATCAACAAATGTTTCCTGTGGTGGTTTTAATCGTATGTCGCTACTATCCATACTTTTCAACTAAACAATAGATTCAATAATTAACAAAACTATATTCTAATACTTGATTAAGCTTTAGTGATATTATATTGCGGTGCAAATATAGCTATTTTACGCAACGAGTGATTGAATAAATATGTTGTATTTAGTATATTCTCTTGCGTCTAGTGTTTACAGTCAATTTTTCTAAATATAATCGCGAATTTTTTTATGACTTAAATTACAGGTGATTAGATCTATAAATGAAAATTATATACGCTTTTTCTTACCGAAAGCTTCACTATTCCCGTCACTAGAGCCTAAAGATCTTTTCTTACCTTCTCTCGAAAAGTATTCCTTCTTACGCTCTTTTTCTTTTTCTTTTCTAATTTCTTGCTTCTTTGCCATAGCTTTCAATTTATCTTTGAACTTTTCATCCTTCTTTGCCTTCCTCTTCGTGTCTTTTTCCTTTCTAACAGTGGCGATCTTTTGCATCAAGTCTCTAGCTTTCTTTTCTTCACCTCCTAAAACAACAGCTCTCTTTGACATATATGTTTGTTTCTTTTGAGGTTTCATTTCATGTATTTGAGACTTGAACGGTAAAGTAGTTTTGATTGACTTTGGAACTCTTAATGGGTTAAACTTTCTTTCAGTTCTTTCGATCTTTTTATAAGCACTATCAGCATTTAATGGTGTAGCTACTCCACGTTCTGCTCTAACTTGACCTGTTAATCTCATACCTTGCCATTCAGAATGTTGACTTAATAATAATGACGTGACAGGATTGTAAAACTTTTTGACCTTAACCGGATACCATGTCTTTAAGAAAATAGTATCGGACATAAGAATTTTATCTTCAAAGGTAGCTCTGAAGTGGCCTTCAGGTTTAGACAAGGCTCTTTTAATTTCACCTCTAATCCCAGAAACAGTTCTTATGGATGCTCCTTCAAACTTAGCAACTTCCAAAGAATTGGAAAACATGTCCTTTATAAATGCAGTATTACGGAAAATCTTGTAAGGATGACCAACCAATTTCAACTTCTTTACAATTTCAACCGATGAATTTAAGTCTTCCACAATACCTGTAGCAGCGATCCTAAATGAACCCGTTGTTGATGAGTTTGATACTATATTGAAGCCGACAAATGTTGTATTTGGTGCAACCAAAGGTCCATAAAATGATGCAAAACAGTAAGCATGCTCTGGTGTGTATTTAAGCATTCTATTACGTGTTCTGGAGTCAGATGTGGTATAAATTGGCAATGTTTGAAATCTTCTCCATCCCAAAGATAAAATCAATGGATCTTGAGATTTCAAGATCTTCTTATGCCAACGATGTCTTCTTATTCTAACATTCATGATACCAAATCTCGATTCTGTTGCTAATAAACCACCTAATACAATTGGATATTCAGGTTGCAAATTTTCAATGAATTCACATGGTAAATTAGAAAATACCAACTTTACGTAGGAACCTGCTTTATAACCTTCAATCCTAATTCTAGTTGCAGAATCCATCTCCTCAAATTCCGCTTTATTTATTTCTAATTGTTTAGCCATCTTGTTTTTCTGGAATTCGTACCAAGTGTCGGCTTCAGTATCGCCCTCTGGGTCATCAACACCAAACTCGCGATCTTCTTCTTCTTCAAACTGCAACTTTAATTTAGCTTTATTTGCTGCATTTAATTTTCTCTTCTCTTCTGTTGTCAAGTTTTCAAGTTCTTTGCTTTCTTCTTCGTCTTCTTCATCTTCATCTAATCCTAACTCTGCTTTCTCTTCTTCAGCATCGAAGTCTGCAAATTCATCATCATCATTCTGATCCAGCTTCTTGTCTATATTCTCATCAGAATTTCCTGATTCCAAATCTTCAAAATCACCATATACTTCTTCATCGTCATCTTCTTCATTTGTTCCGTCTTGACCGTCTTTATTCTCGTCATTCAATTTTGGTGCTGCTAAAAACTTCGATTTTAATATTCTGTACCCATTCTCATATTCATCATCATCATCTTCAATGGTAGAAGTATTAAATTTCTCTTTGAGTTCTTCGAGAGGAGGATAAGAAGGAATGAACTGATCTAAATCTTGAGAAGAATCCTTAATGTCTTTCTTTCGGAAGAAAGCATCATCTTCCTCTTCAATATCTTCTTCTTCGCTATCCTCGTCTATATTTGTAGCTTTCCACTTTTTAATGACATCTGATGGATCAATGTTTTGTAAGTATAACAATTTGTTGATGTCCCATTTTCTTTGAACAGAACCATTTAATCTAGACGCAGCCAACTTGTAGTCATTACCATTTTCTTCATCAGAAGATAAATACGAATCTTCTGCAAATTCTAATTCTTTTTCATTATATTTATCATTGTTGAAATCAACTTCAACTAATTTAGGTTCTTCAGATTCTGAATCATATCCACGCTCTTCGTCATCCGATAAATTGTCGAATTCATCATCTTCTGCTAAAGACTTGCCATAGAGACGGGCTGACCTCATAGATGTTCTTCCCGTATTTCTTGGAGCTTCTTCAAGTTCATCGTCTTCTGATAACAAACCTTTCTCTTCCTCACTTTCATCTTCATCTTCATTACGATTTAATTCCTTAGAACTAGAGAATAATCTTAAACCAGGACCATCTTCAAATCTTTCTTTCATTGTCTTTTGTACTTCTTGCAAATCTGTCACTAATTTTTCCCCTTCTCCTGCTTCTTCTCCTTTTATGAAATTTTCTTTATCACCCATGTCAATATATACTGCATCCTTATCGACTAAAACACCTCCTACATCAGACATTGGGGCATAAATAATTTTTTGTTTATCCTCCAATCTCTTACGTCTTCTCGTGGTTTTTGCTTGAATCTCACCCGACTCAGCGGCAAGCTTTGCCTTTTCTCGTTCTATTTCATCTAACTTCTGTTCAAAATATGGAGTTGGGCAAGGGTCTGGTAATTTTTCAACAGAGTGGACATAATGATCACCCACACCAGCAATATGAACGTGAGCATTCACGGACGGTAATGGAGTACCGTGCAAGTAGCCATAAATAGCCACTTTTCTATCACATTTTGGGTTTTCGGCAATTTCTTGAGGATGCGTAAGATCAGTTACTCTATCAGCCAATAAGTAAGGGTGCTCATTTCTCCATTTCAAAGGTCTAAACTTCATGACAGATATGAAACGAGTCAAATTAAGAATTTCTCTATCAGGATAACGACCATTTATAACTCCTGATAAATAGAATAACTTAGCACCTTGATATACTTCAGTCCAGAAACGATGCTTCAATCTCTTCTTAGATGTTCTTAAAGTGGATTGAGATTTAAACAAATCTAAATGCGTAGCAACCCCTAAAACTCTAGGCATACCATGATGCTGAGCAACATTCAAGAATTCCATAGTTTCCATTTCTAATCCAAAATTACCATCAACAAGTAATAAGACTAAGTCAGCAATTTTTGCCGCATCGACCATTGAGTTCAAATCATTTCCAACTTCAATGAACGTTAATCTTCTTCTTTTACCACTTACAACGGTAATTGGTCCTTTAATTTCGGTCAATGACGTCTTTGCAAGCCTTCTTATTAATGATTTAATTAATGTTGATTTACCAGTTCCTGGTGGTCCTACCACTGCTACAATAACTGGTGGTGGATCATCATCGGGAGTCCTATCAACCATTGGAACATGTAATTTCCTCTCATTAACTTCCAGCGATCTCTTTGCCATTCTTTCCAACTTTCTTGGTGCGCTTACCGCAAATGCTTTCTTATTCTGTCCATGTTGATGCAATTTCTGCTTAGCAGTGGTCTTTCTAGTGCCACCTCGATGGGCCTTATTTGACTGCTGCGTGCCGTCCATTAAATCTTTCTATTATAAATGAGCAGCTAGACTAGAAAATCAATTAAAATCCAATATATACAAGTATAAGTAATCTAAAGTGAACAAAATGCAATGGAAGAGTATGTGTTTAGGCCTCATCGTTTTTCAGCTGCTGCTTAAAAAAAAAATTTGATGCTCTTCCCTCGGATATCAGGTGATGAAAGGTCGGAATGATAATATTCAATTACCGCAAAAACTACTTAGATGATTGTAATTGTCTTTACCATTATTTTGATATCAATTAGCCGATGTTCAGGTTATTGTTTAGTTTATTCCTTTCTATAGGTCTCATAAAAGCCACTTGGTATTTTAAAGAGCCAAAAATTTGTAATCCAAAACAAAATGGTCTTCTTCCATTTACTGGTTTCAAAGTATATCGTCAGTACAAGATAGAAGGTTACTTTCCTACGTCCTTACATTTTCTTACAATTACACATTGTGACCACGGCATGCCTGACTATGAAAAACAAGTTTTGACCGGATCCAGTATTGACATAGATTGGAACAAACCATTCTGTGTTTTAAAGCCAGATTTGGGAAATAAACTACTCCCAAAGCCAACTGATAAAGTCTTCAATTTATACCACGATAACAACAATTCTTCACGAGAAAACAAGAAATATAATGATATGTCTCTTGACAGCTCTTTGGAAGAACAATCTGTTACCCCTTCTGAGCTGTTTAAATCTAGAATATCAGAAGTTGGAAGAAACTTGAATAATTTGTTCGGAACTTCTGTGGACAATGCCTTGGAAAAAGTTATTAATGGCAAGCATGTTCAGTACACAAGCAAAAAGGCAACAGATCACGTTGAAGATATCCGCAGCTCTGATCCACGGTCTTCTTTGGAGTGGGAGTCGAGAAACTTGGTGTGTTACAAAATGGCACGCAGAAAGAAGTACGCCAAAAGAAATATTCTTTTCTACATTCCGTATACATTTGTAGGAGGATTATTCGAATGTGCTATTCCTGATAATAGGAAAAAGGAAATCTTTCAAGAGTTTCAATCTGGGGACTTCTTGAAGAATTTCGATTTTAGATGTGATAAATCACTAGCTACTCCGGTGTCGCCTTTGGTTGCTCAAGACAGCACTAAACAATGGTTAGAGACAAAGTTTAATCCATTAAACCCAGTATTAATTCAAAGAATTCCTTATTTATCAACGGCCTCGATATTTGACATAAGATTTTCGACCAGTGATACGCCTGATATGCTTCAAGACACCTGGGCAAGCCAAATAGATGTTAATGAGGAATATACTTACACGGATCTTGAGTTAAACGTAATTTCACAAGCAATCGCTTTATCAGCAGATTATTTTCATAAAACATTTCGTCCTTTGGATTTATCTGGGGTATTTCATGATTTGGTTCTTTTGAAATCATCTGATGGTCTACAAAATTCGCATGTAGCAATTCGAAACTTCATCATGAGTACTTTTAAGAAATTGTCTTTCGATCAGAAAATAAATATGTTATTATCTTCAAGAAAGGCAGAAGAAGCCATGCTCCATTTACGTAAATTACAAAGAATGTGGGATAACCTAGTCGATTAGATCGTAAACATACAATAGATATAAATATAAGTATTAATATTCATACATAATAAACAGTGCTTCATATTCTAAAAGCAAAAATATAAACTAAAGAATAAAATAAAATAGTGTACAGTTATTGAAATTTGAAATGTGTCTTAAAGAATATCATTCGTGTTCGTTGGTTGATTATTGGAATATGATGAGAATCCACCAGCTGAAATATTTGAATCGTGTCTATAATGTTGGTTAATTGGAGTAGCCGAATTATCTTTTGGGAATGAACGTGGTTTAGTATTTACAACATCCTTTTCCTCATCTGCATAATTATCTTGATTATCATCTAATAAGGTATCACTAATTCTTGTGATCTTACTATTTTTAGTATTCTTATCAGTAGGAGTTCCCTTTTCACCCTTGCCAGCTTTGAATGACAAACCTCTAGATAATTTTCCTTTCAATTTTGAGCCTATTGTCTGTGGTTGTTGTCCTGTATCATTAGAATTTTCACTAGAATTTATTTCGTTTACTTCGAACTTTTCTTGTTCAAGCGATGGTGTTAAATGATTTTTCTGGTCGTTAGATGATGACGAAATGTTATTCAATTTATACATTTCTGACTCCCAATTGTTTGAATGATCTTGTGCAGCCAATCCCAATGCCAATAACTCATTAGCACCTTGATTATCTTGTTTATTGTTGTAAGATCTGTGTTTAACAGAACTCATTCTTTGGAATGAGGTTCTGTCATCTCTAGCTGGAGCAAATCTTGCATCTGGATTCTTCGATATCAAAATGAAGGTAATGAAAGCAATAATCATCATCAATAAGCAAAATGAGAAAGCAGCATTCAAAATAAAAAATACCCAACCCATGATAGAAGACACAGGAGCGGGTTGGCCAAACAAATCGGAGAAAAACAAGAACAAGAAGGAATTGACAGTTACCACGACTGAAATAAGATAATTGAGGATGTTTGTAGGCTTGTTCAAGTAGGGCGCCTGTATAATCAAATAAATTGTGTAAGCCAAATCAAGAATAAAGATTACTAAGGCTGATACTTTACCGGAATATTGACATAAACCAATAAAAATAGCTTTTAACAAATTATAACCAATTAGAACGATACCAAACCAATATTTTTCTGCCTGGAACATAGTATAACAGAAACCGTATTTGTTTAAGACTTTTGAGTCACCATACAACACAGCAGCTGGGTTATTATACTCTTTAATGGACAGGCTTGCTAACTTTACAACTCTCCAATAAGAGTATACTACAACACCAAGTACCAAAATTAACAGTATTACCGCCAAAACAATAAGTGCTGGGGAATCATTTTGGGTAAATTCCCATAATGATAAAATTACCAATTGAGTGAATCCAATATAGAGATATCTTAACAAGGAACCTTTCAAAATGAGTCTGAAGGAAGATCTAAAGTGGCTTAACCTATTTGGATTAATCTTCTTAAATCTAATTAACAAATCAAGGATCTGCTTAGTAAAAATAAGAATTATAACCAATAGGTAGCCAAAGAAAACGAAAAATGTAAATCCTGTGGCAACAATTGAAGTAGGTTCAATATGCGAGTTATAACCTATTCTTTTAATACCCCTTAAAACGATCAAATTAGAATTTGACTGAAGTGAAAAATCTAACGATCTTTTCGCATAATTAACAATTCTATTGTTACTGGCAAATTCATGAACATCCCTTAAATGATTCAAAGCTCTTTGAACTAATATTTGCGAAGTTGTACCCGTGAAGTACAAAGTTGGCGAGCCACCAGTACTTTGGACATACCATCTGAAAATTTCTTGCATGAATTTGACTCTAATTAAACCCATGGACCAAGCGAGGTTTTCCGCCCAAGCCGACGCAATAGGAGGAACTCTTTCAACATTCTGCATGGATACAACAACAACCGATTGAAAGTACAAGAACAAAGAAACTGAGTTAGCAGATATATTAGTAGCTGCCGTAGAGTTACCAAAAGTTGATAAAACGGCCGCGATCAATAATCCCAACCCTGCAATAACAGCAGTAGCCCATTTAGCACCTGTTTGTTCTACAGTCTTCCCATTTGTAAAACTTGCTTGCATACATGATAACTGCTTTCCGTCCGATTGGTCCTTCACAATAACTTTCACCACTGCGTCGATGTCCGGAACTGTGTACGCTATGCCTGGGATCTCTTTCACATATTCCTCGCTAATGTACTCAATACTCTCAACTTGCATGGTCCCAGGATAAATTGGACAGAACTGCTTCCACCCCAAAGAACACATATCCACGTTCTTTTCGATAATTAAAAACCCGTAGGCATAAACCTGGACAAACGCTTCCACCTTGGCATTGATCTCAGTTGTTAAATCAATACTGTATTTCAACGACCTATCGTCCGGATTGAACGTCACATTGAAGTAAGTTGGCGAAATTTGCGAATTATCCATACATGTCACCAACGAAGTAGCCGAAAGTGATCTTTTCCCCATAACACCCGCCATTTGCCAGAACCACGTCAATAGTATTAACACTTTAGAGATAGTTTTCATCTTAGCGTAATCTAATGTATCAAAACCTTATAATAACCTTATACTGATATTTTTCAGAAATCTTCACTTCTAGTTGTTAGATATATCGATCTTGCAATTTGCTCCTTTTTTTCACTTGATCTACTGACTAGGAGATAGAATATAAAACCAGAAATTCCTGTTTAAAGCGAACGCAAATAAGGTGTTGGTATGTTTTGTATTAATACCCTTAGATCAATAACTTGAACAATTTTTCCAGTTATTTAACCCTGAAAATATTACTACTTATCCGCCTAAATCAACAAGGACCAAAGTTTTTTATTATAATTTTTACCAGGTTATGAGAAATGCCACGTCCTAAATTTATCAAAAGGATTTTCGAAGGGGCAGTGATTACCACAATAACGCGCTCGTGTATATATAGGCCAAATATCTAAGCATAATATTACGATAGCATAATAAATAGATTCTATGAACGGATTATTGTCTTTAACTCTTACTAGGCGCTATATATAGATTTTATGTACTGGGGAACCTGTAGAGATATATATTTGGTATGGAAATATAAGCCTGGGGAATTAATTTGGCATAGAAATGCCATGATCCCTGTCTATACAGGGGTCCATCGATGAAGAAGTAAATGCGAGACTGATGAGAAAAAAATAATAGGGTGACATGTGCATGAGCAAGTACAATATAGATGAAAAACAAGGACATAATTATAAAGAAGTCAACTAATTTATGCTAATATATACGGAGAGAATTATCAGAATAGCAGAAAGAAAATCATAAGTGATATTCGACCATTCTTGCTTGGTCCACTTTAACTAATAAAGCATCACCCCATACAGCTTTGATGACGTCCCAAAATTCACGAGCGTAGTGAATAGTGATTCCGTATTTGTCGAACCAGAATTTCTCTGGCTCGGATCTTTTGAAGTCATATTTGTTTTCGTTGTCGAGTAATAAATCGTTCAATTGGTTGAAATCATTGGTGGACCTGCAATATTCCTCGATCAAGTCTTTACGGTTTTCTCTTGGGACTATCACACGCTTGATACCGTTTAAATGAGCACCTAATATTTTTTCTTTGATACCACCGATAGGCAATACCAATCCCCTCAAAGTGATTTCACCTGTCATGGCTGTATCCAATGGAACGGGTTTTTCCAAAATCAATGATAAGAACAGTAAGGCCATAGTAATGCCCGCTGATGGACCATCTTTTTGAATTGAACCCAGTGGTACATGCAAATGTATTTCCATATTGTTGACTTTGTCAATTAGACTTTCATTAAGATTTCTGTCAATCAAATTCAACAAATTTTTGTAGATTATCAGCTTAATAAATGTTAAACCGATTTTTGCGCTCTCCATTAAGACATCCCCTAATCTACCAGTCATATTGAGAGATGATGTACCTGATTTGCCCTCGTGGTTAAACCCTATACTTTCAAATACCAATACGGAACCTGATCCATCGGTATTATACGATAATCCGTTCACAACTCCACATTTTGCTGATTCTATTGGGGACTCGAATAATTCGGTTGATAAATTCGCGAAAGGTAACCCTAAATACTTGGGTAAGTCTTCAATTTCAACCTTAGGTTGATATTCGCTCAACTTATCCAAGCTTTGAGAGTATTCTACTGCTTTGAATCTACAGATTCTTCCTAAGCTCCTCTCAAAATTTCTCACCCCGGCTTCTCTGGTATAATCAAGGATCACCTTGCGCATAACTGATTTCTCGAGGTCGATCAAATCAGCCTGGGGAATACCGTTTCTTTTGATTTGTCTTGGCAAAAGATACTTTTCTCCAATAACCAACTTCTCATCATAATCGTACGCTCCCACTTCGATCATCTCCAACCTATCTAACAATGGTCTAGATAAATTATATGCTTCATTTGCAGTACAAATAAACATGACTTGAGACAAATCAACCGGGAATCCCAAGTAATGATCAATAAAGGATGTGTTCTGCTCAGGATCTAAGACTTCTAATAAGGCTGCTGATGGATCTCCATTGAATTTATTGACACCATTGTTGCCTCCAATAATCTTGTCAATTTCATCCAAAAGAATGACTGGGTTCATAGATCTTGATTTCCTTAAGGATTGAATAATAACCCCTGGCATTGCACCAACATATGTACGTCTATGGCCTCTAATTTCAGACTCATCCTTGATACCTCCTAAAGAAACTCTCTGGAAGTTACGGCCTAATGCTTTAGCGATAGATTTCGCCAATGATGTTTTACCAGTTCCGGGTGGGCCAACTAACATTATAATTGGGGATTTATTATTTTTCGAAACCATAAGAGACTTATTTAATAAATTTTTCTCTATCGTTGTCAAAGATTTAGATTTCTTATTTTTGTTTCTTGCCGTTTCATGGGCAACTGATGTCTCATCATTATTAGCGATAACAATTGAATCATCAGCTCTAGTGAAATTCTTTTCTCCCTTCTCTTTATCACTCTTATTGTTGGAAGGTGATTCATTTTTGTTCGATTTTTTGTTTTCTGATTCTATCTTTTCAAATTCCTTCTCAGCATTAATTCCTAGAAGCTTTAACACTACCAAATACTGAATTAATCTTGTTTTAACGTGTTGTAATCCATAATGATCGTTATCCAATTGCTTTTTAGCGAAATCTAGGTCAATATCCTTGTTAGACTTAAACCTTGTAACATACCTGTCCCATGGAATATCTGCCACAATTTCCAAATAATTCCTAATTACATGGAAATCTGAGTTACCTGGTGGTGATGATTTAATCCTCTTATAGTCCTTCACAATAAGTCTTTTTGTATCGGAAGATAAAGTAGTAATATTTGGTAATTTACCTTTAATAAAACTGGTGATGGCTCTTAATTCATCTTCGTCATCATCATCTTCATCGTCATATTCATCGTTACTTTCATTTCCATCGTGGTTCATTGGCAGCTTAGCAGACTTATTGCTATTGTTGCCACGGCGAACAAGTTGGCGAGAGGGATTTTGATTTGTTTTGATATCTTTACCGGGTTTATTAGTCATACCTTCTAAAATTAATCTAATAGACTTTAGTTGACTTGCAACCACATTAGCCCTTTGAATATTAGTCGCTTCATTGTAGAACCAATGATTAATAAATTTGTTATTCTCTTTCAAATTAGAAAACACTTGAATCATAGATTCAAGCATCAAATTTGCTTCATTAACTCTATCAGTAGCATTAAAGTCTTTTAGTAACTTCAATTTTTCGTGATTTGGGAATGGTATAATTGCGCAGGTTAAATCAATTAACCTTAAAAAAGTCTTGTTGTCGATCTTAGTATTCGAAGAGGAATTGAAAGTTCCGAATAACTTTTGTAAACTAATATAAGCCTTTGTAAAATCTTTTGAACCTGCCAAATGTAAATAAAGCGAGTTGGCTAAAGGATTTAATGTCAATAAATCGCCATTCTGCCTTAAATCTTTTGATTGTTTCCCTTTCTTTGCTAATGAAGCAGCAATAGATAAAGCCTGACGATAATCAACAATGAATTCATCAATAGATTTAAATAACCTTAAAGCTTTGGTATTCAAAACATCATACTGGCTGGCTACATCATCAATATTAGCATTCCAGTCAATATCTACCAAAGCTTCATTCGTTTGAGATGGCTTAACCTTACTATGTTTGATACCTCTAGTTAGGGCTTGTAGTGTTAACTTAATATTGCTCGTGTCATCAACCATACCAATAACTCGAGCAATTGTAACAATATTTTCATATTCATCATCAGATGAACCTTGTGGTTCTCTTATCTTTTCCAAGTTTGGATTTATTGCTAAAACTAACCAATCAAACTCATTTTGAAGGTCTAATTCTCCTCTTGAGTCATCACTTTTACCTTTGAATTTTTGTTCATATTGATAAAACTTTTTAATACCAGCTACAGCATCCTCTGAAATTGGGGTTGGCATATACCTAGATTCGGTTTCATCTTTTTCATCTTGCTTACCATCGAAATCATATTCATTGAGTAGATTCGTTATCAAGGAAACATTTGAAACTTGACTTTTAAATCGTGATAGCAAAGTAGCTGCCTTGAATCTAGAGAATGTGACATTATAAATTATCCCCGGCAATAATACTAAATTAGAGTCCAATTTATAAGTTGGCAAAACAACTTGTTGTTTGAAGTCTGTGTTATTTTGCTCGTTAGATTTGTATCTGGCCATCTTTATGATATACTAATTATACTAGCCTTAGGTATTTAGAAAGAAGTAAACTTGCCACCAATAAATAGGTTCTTATGATTATGAGAACTAAATTTTGTGGAGAGATTTGCTGATTAGAGAAAGCCGAGGAAGTTCTCAAAAATGACTCGACCCTTCAAACGAGCTAACATATAGAAAGCGCATGGTATCCTCAAATCATGCCTATTACTTCAAAATCAGGTCCAAGTGTACTTCCGTTGTAGAATTTGATAATATTATTGATTTCAAGTTCAATTAATTAATCAAATACATGTCTTCTCTCTTTGTTAAATTGCAAGTTTTGTAGCTTCAATCCTATTTTATTACGTGAACTAGATATGCTGGTGATGTAAATTTAATTTAGTCTAAATTAAGCTTAGGTTAATAACATATAACTACAACTTAGAGCCGCCGATAAATATATATATAACCTAGGAAATTATTAGTATCCCTTTTAAATATTAGCATATGTGGCAATATATCTTCTAAATACAACAAAGTCTATAAGACGTCTTTTAAATTAATTTGGCCCGTACCTCTTGCTAAAGGTTGTGGTTGGTTTTCACTCTTTTTCCATCCAATCATGAATATAACACTGAAAGTAGCAGGTAAAGTAACGTTTCCATGTTCATCAGTTTCGCCGTGTAATGCCTTATAAATCTCGTTAGCTGCTAACATCACATCTCTTGGTAAAAAGTTTGATCTCGATAATACAGAATTTTGTTCACCCATCAGCTGTAAATCTTTACAAACTGAAGCTATGTCTGGAAATCCTCCAACTACGATATCTTCTGAGTCGATAGTTAACATGCTAAACCCTGCCCTGTTTAAAAGAGAACCAACGTCATTCAAATGCACTAAGGGTGACATTCTTGGAGACATTCCGCCCTTTCTTTCCAATTCAGCCAACTGCAATGAAGTTCTCAACTCATATAACGTATCTCCACCAAATAAGGTACCCATGAATAATCCGTCTGGCTTCAATACACGATTTATATTTGCCAAAGTACCTGGCAAATCATTAATCCAATGTAAAGATAAATTTGAAATTACTGCATCATATTGATTTGATTCCTCTAAGCATTCATGGTCGAAAGCTTCTTCATCTCCTACATTACGGATAATCTTTCCTTCAAATTGAGAATTGAATGGTTGTTCAATATCTCTAAAAAGAATGTCCTTTGATGAGTCAAGCATGACTAATTCTTTGATTTTTGATCTTATAGTCTTCTTGTCATTATTAAGTTGTTTGCAAATCTCTATATCAGCAGAGTCCGCTGTCTCAGGTACCTTCGATTCCTCAAATAGGTTTTTTATTAAATTACCCAGGTGGGACCCAAAATCCAATAACCTATCAAAGTCCCTTGTGATGAATGCCAATCTTTCTATAGTCCTAATTGCCACCTCATCTCTTAAATACTCTACTTTACGAGATTCTTGTGGATTAAGCTTTGGTGTTCTTGATCTTTGTAGTAATTTTGCAGATCTGTCAAATACATTAAATTGTTGTTTCTGTCTAGCTGCATTCTCTGATGCTGATGTCGCTAATAGACGTTTGCTGGTTAACGATTTAAACATTCTAAATCTTCTGACACCAAAAAGAGAAACAATTTGCGTTTAGCTTTCATTCATCTTTTTCGATGCTCACATACCTGAGATCTTCATCACAAAGCTATATCCTTGTCACCCACTCCTAATTAGAGAATTACGAGTTACATTATGTTACGGTATATATCGAACAATCCTATAATAAGAAGAAGCGTACGACATTCTTTCAGACTTTCATCATTATTGCCGTTAAGAAATATACATAATACAAGCATTGATTATAAAACTACAGAAAATGTATCTCAGCTTTCAGTTGATGACTTTTTACTAAATGAGAGTTCATCTACTCAGTATGAGCCCAATGTATCAGACAAAGAGAAAATTGCTTCGACAGAAACGTTCATTCTGCAACTTAATTCGAATACTAAGATTAAAGCGATAGAAATTCACATTGAACATTTAATTGAAGTCAAAGATTTCAAGTCAATATGGCTAATTTCTAAACTTATGAAAGATTTCAATATACCCCCATCGTATAAATTGTATATTTTACTATTAAAAGTTTGCAAATTGACAAATAAGCCTGAATCCACAAGCCTTGCAACAAGGTTGTATTACGAAGCGATGAAACTACATGAATCAAAGAAACAAGGATACAAGTTAACACAAGATATCCATAATGGTTTAGCATATTTTTTACTCGGATCTTTTCAATGCTGCCAAGACTTCACAGAATTGATAACTTTGAAAATGTTATGGGAAAATTACATTATAACTAACGTTGATAAGCCGATATATGAATTGTTGTATCACTCAGCATACATTAATACATTTCTCAATACATCTCAAACTCAAGCCGCTATTTATCATTTTGAAAAAGCCTTCAAAGAACTAACTCAAGTAGATGTGGTGGAAAACTATCATCAATTCACTAAATACGATGTGCTTCTAACTCTACCAACAATTCGCATCCTTGATATCATGGCATCTAATAAGGATTTTCAAAAATTACAAGAGTGGCTTCTAATAGTTAATGATGAACAGCATTACAAGCTAACTGATGAGAGTGATGATTGCAAAATAATTCTTAATGACTATAATTGGCTCAAATATCTCAATGTTGGTCTTTTAAACAATAATTACGACTTGGTTAAAACCGTGTACGATAATTTTATTATGAGTGGATATGACGAAGGAATATCTACAGAAGATGTTCTCTTTAGAAAAGATCCCACAATATCTTCAGCTTATGGGAATGTAATTTTGAATTCCGTTAATGACAAGACAATATTTCAAATTCTCCATACATTTGCGATAAACGGCGATGTAAACCTGACCCTTGCCTTGATCGAATCACACTATATTCACAAAACAATGAAAGGTGAAAAGGCGTTAACAAAAGATCTATGTCTAAAGATAATTGAATCGTACTGCTATCATCCTGACTTACAGAATAATTGGAGTGAGGACGAAATAGGGTTATCAAAGAAACCTAATGACGAAAGTGTTAAAAGAGTATTGGATGTATTGAACGGGTTTGTCATGAAGTTTGATTCAGATAAAGATAATAGTATTAGTTATCGGGATATCACGGATGCCATGTCTTTTAAATTTTTAAATTATAAGGTCTACGATAAAAATATTAGAAAAGCTAAACACAAAGAACTTGAAATATCTGAGAAGATAAGAAATCCTGAAGACATTGATAAGATTCCAGGTTTGCCAAGAAAGATTTCCAATAGAAATATAGAGAGTTCTTTTCAAGGAAATGTATTAGCTAATCTTGAAACATTGTCAGGCTTCATCTTGGACCACCTAGAATATTTGCGTGAAAAGAGTTATTCTGACTCAACAATAATTTTATTCATCAATTGCATCTTAAATCATACCAATTTGTATCAAAACTTTTCAGGAACTGTGAAAGCATTATCAACCATATGTAAAATGTTTCCAAACTCGGTCTCTGATTACCTAAATGATGATCTGATGAATATCATACTTAATTCATTAGCAAACTCTAATTCAGCCAAAATATCATCACTAATTTTATTTAAATACTTGCATAACAAAAAAAGGGTAACTCACAACCACTATAGGTGTTTTATATCTGCAATATTGAGAGGAGATTTTCACGACTGTTTACAATTTTTTCTTTATAATTACTTATTAGATTATGGTGGTGTAATAGACTCAAGGATTCAACAAATGCTTCAAGATTTACCCTCAGATATTACCCATTCTAGTGCAAGTACTTCGTCTTTGTTAACATTCATTACAGACAAAGCTAAAATTAAATTAAGTGATAAAAGCTTGAATTATCAAGTAATTTCGCCCGAGGAAGTAGATCAGTTTTGGAAACTTAACAAAATCCGACATGAGGAACCATTTGTTGGAGACAAAAACATCCCACATTTTAAAAGAGTTTATAATCATTATTTTGATGTACGGGATGCCAATTATTTGACCTATATATTTCAATTGCCAGCTTATGATAAGATCTCACTACAGTAAATTTATAGAATTCTCTTATTATATGCTATGTATCATAAACGTAAATATACCTAGTCTGCTTGGACTGCTTGTTGTAATTCATCGGCATTAATATCAATTACCTTAGCTTTCATTCTATTTAATCCGCTATTCCACCTTGACTTCATACTTTCTATCAAACTCTTGTCAGCTTCATCATCGAAAAAATCATTATACCTTTTTCTAGACTGCAATCCAAGTATAGAGTCATTCCCTCCGAATGTATTATTGAATGTGGGCGAAAAGCTTTCATTATATGAGGAGCCTAACATAGTTGAATCCACGGCCATACGCATAATGTTACCTGCATGACATGCTAAATGATCATAGTCAGATGTCATTTCCATACTTTCTTCATCCGCATTATCATGTCTTATAGCAGTTGTTTTCTCTGTCACGGATTTTATAGGCAAATTGAGAAATTCAGCTTTGTCCATCTTGAAGGCTTTCAGTTTAGCAAGAAGAATGTTTGGTTTTTTACCTGATGCCTCGCCCATGTCTGAAACAGGCGTAGATTGAAGAAGATTTGTCGTATTCTTTTTCTTTGATGAGGCAGAGGAGGAAAAGAAAATGGTCTTATTAGGTATTGGGGTCTTATAAATAGATGAAGGTTGCGCCTGGGTAGCATTAGTTTCACTAGCATTTTCTTCGATTGTTTGTCTTGACCTTTTAATACCTCTATTCTTTTGTCCCAAATCGTTATCTTGTTTTATATTATGACTATCTTTCGAGACGTTATTAGGACTCCTAGAAAAAGTAAGTTCCAATTGATAATGCTTCAAGTATTCTTGGTTCTTTGCTAATAATTCATAGAGAGGGCTATCATTCACCCCATCGTTGGATTCTTTCGCATCAAAACACTTTGAGATGGGATTTCTTGAGTAATAAGGCTCTTTTACCTTTGGTAATCCTTCTAACTTTAAATTTTTATTTAAAAGAACATCTCTTGGTAAGTGGCTGGCAAATTCTAGATCAGATTCATCTATAGAGGGAAAGTTGTATCCAAGATTTACGGATGTATGAACATTAAATTTTACCGACATATCTTATTATTGGTTTATACTCAAATGATTTATGATAAAGAAAAAAATTAAAAGTAGTGAGAGGTCAATTGCAATTGTATATATAAAGATAAGTAGTTCCTTTGATCCCAATGTTAACCATACAAGTCAAATTATTCCCTTTTACAGAATACTAATTGTTTTTATTTACCTTTATCCTAAAGCGGTATCAATATTCGCAGCATTTTACAATTGCGACTTTTATTTATAAATGTCTCGTTTATGTCGCAATTCAATGTCGTACGTACTTTTCAATGGACGACATTTAAATTCAAAAATCAATAATTTAAAGCCACATGATTGGTGGAATTCGTAGATTTGGTATACTTCTATTTAAGAATTATAATTATACTGAAAATACATGTAGTATCTGTACGGAGATTCATATTGAAAATTTATATATACAAGTTGTAATTGGCACTTGTTGAGGTTAAAAATGAAACTTATGTACATGAAAACGTGTCAGTCAAAATTGAATAAATATTGTAGACACTATTTCTATGATAGAGTACTATTAACTTACCATACTCTTCAGTAAGCAATAATGACTCCGTATGCAAAAGGTGGGACTCTCTTAGATACCTATAAAGATATCAAAAAGAAGTTCATGCAAACTATTCGTGGTAGGCACATAGGAGACTGTTTTCTAGTCCATTATCTGGGCCTACTATAAGGCAAGAATTTACATGCAGTTGAAAGGATATAGCTGAATCCTTAACTTGAATCTATTTTTTCCTTGACATCATTCGATTTTTTAATGATTCTTTCATCGATTACCGAATCGTTCCCATGGACTGCATCTATTGGGCAAGGAAGAAGGGAATTGGCTCCAACCATTAATACACATATAGCAAATGTTGAACTAAATAATGAATTAGTCATTCTATTTCTCTGTGTGGCCTTAATTGCTGAAAACATAGCTTATTGATGTATTTATTATGCGTTGAAGGGTTGTTCAAAAAGGTAGTATATGCGTTGAATATAATAGAAAGACAGTATTTCGTCTGATACACCAATTATCCCAATAAGATGTGGTAAATTGTAAACACTAGTAAGTGAATGTAAATATGTTTCTTCGACAGAGAAATTCATGTATTTTTTTCAATCGAATATTAGCTCACGTGAATACTCGTATATTGGCCAATCAGACTGTCCGCTTATAGCATTTCCTGGGTTTGGGGGTCTATTGAATGATTGAAAGATACTACTACAAGTTGTTTAGTCGCATATCATCTACAGGCTTCCTATAAGTATATTACGATGCATTAGATAGAATAAGTTATTTAAGCATATGAATCTATTATTTTAGTTCATATTGTATATGACTAAAATTCCTTTAAAATGAACCATGTTGCAAATCACGTGGTAACGTAACCATAGATCATATAAAGATCATACAAGAGTCAAAGGATGTATGTATTACAGTATCTTCTCATCTAAAAACGTCTAAATTAGTTTGCTTACTGGCTGCCTTGTTTAAAACTTTTGATCATGTATTAGGAGGTATAGGAAATAACAGAAATAATAATCTGTAGAATGATATGTGGTCAGTAGATCAGAAGCTTATTTGTAAATAGAGAATAGGACATCGGTATATACGACCACGAAACAAATATGTCGTTTTTCTCCGGAGAATTTGAGATCATCTTCAAGAGTGATAGCCATTTCACTTCATCTCGGCCCTATATTAAAAACATTATTAAAAATTTTGAAGGACAAGAGTGCAAGAAGACATAAAATGTGAAAGTATACAAATCAAAATATTCTAGTAAGCATAGTTGTAGTTACATATATAGCATGTCTATTGCACGCAATAAGTAAATCAAATTTAACTATTGTAATGCTTGGGTGTCTTATATAAAATATTTAAACCCACTATATGTACAGGATTATTTAATGAACTTTAATTGAATTTCAAGTAGCTTTCGGTTCATGAAAGCTAGGAAAGGCATATTCATTATACGATTGAGATCGAATGCTAATGGAATTAATTTGTTAGCAATTAGTAATCATTTTATCAAAAATTGTCATGGAGTTACCTTGAAATGAAGAAATTGCCAGCTCAACTTATTGGTATACTTTATTAAGCATGTCACCTTTTATAATTTCAAATCCAGGGTTGAATTTTCTCTCAGCCGCCAACTCTTCTTTTGTCTTGGGTTTGTCGACTAATTCTATTTTGACTAATTCTTTGACAGCGCTAATTCTATGAGCAGTAGAGGGTGATACTTTTTGATAAATAATTTGGTTTATCCTCTTTAAGCCCAAGGCTTCAATATTTTTACGGATTCTTGGATGACATCCAATGGTTGACCTCGTCTGAGTTATCTTGTAGAACATATTCTTAGCAGCATTTGCGGTAGACATCTTTGATGGTAGAACTAGTTAAGTCTTCTCGGTACCTCTAATGTTCAATGGAAAATTTTGATTCCCGGTCGCGACTTTTTTTTGGGACATTTTTATCAAATGTCGCAATATATGAGATCAATATCAAGTATATAAGCTTAGAGTATATATAACATATAATGATTCTGTCAAAATCAATGAGATGTATGCTTAATTATGGATGATGTATTTGAACAAGTATTAGTTAAAAAAAGTGATGAACTTCATTCTCGTATACGATCGTTAATTGAAGATTTAAGGAATGTCATTCACGATAATGACTTCAATAATCCAGCCAAAATCAAATATTCAAGGGAAATCTTTTCTAGTTTACATTTACTGGTTAGCGAATTTGAATCATCTCCCAAACTTTTAGATCTCAATTTAGCGGTCTATATAGAATCGTTAGCTGACTCGTATTTGTCGCTATATTCATGTGAAGTTGACAATGATGTTAACAAACATTTAGAATATGGGATAGCTGGGATTATATATGACTTTTCTAAAATAAGGGGATTCAAATTCATCACTAACTTTTTTTCAAGTGATGTTTATTCAATTCCCAAACTATTAGAATTGACTGAAAATACAAGCTTAAATGAAAATGAAATATTTTTGATCTTAATATGGCTTTCTAACCTAGTTCTTGTTCCATTCCCTCTTACCTTAATTGAAGAAGATTTACCAAATAGGTTGCTTACATTTGGTTTGGGTTGTCTTGAAAAGCATTCTAATGCGTCTAAAAACCAATCAGTTGCACTGATTTTAATATCCAGACTCATTTCAAGACAGGACTTAATACATGATGGTATGCTTGATTTCTATTTTAAAGATAAGGTTGTACCTATCTGGAGCTCATTGTCATATAACAGCGGCTCAATCAAATTGGGACACACGATGGTGATAAATAAGTTAATGAAGAGATGCTCATTTGAAGTTATGCGTAGATATTTGGATACTATCCATAAAGAAGTCATTTTAGTTGATTTGGTAAATCTACGTACACAAGAAGAGTCTTCTATGAACGAATTGAATAACCTTAATATTTTGTATATCATTAAGATATTGAACAAACTAACCAAATTTTATTTGCATCTGCCTGAATCTGGGAAATTCTTGCAGACTTCTAACATAGTGAATATTTTGCTTCATGATGTAATGGGCATAATGTTAGATAGATTTGATACTAACTTAAGATATGCAATGGCAAAGAATTTGAGTAATATATGTTCCCAGCTATCAGTGCAAGCAATGAATTACCAGGAACAATTAGTTACGTATCTTATAGAACAATTAGAAATCCCTGACATTGAAATTCCCTATTCCCCATATGAAAAATCAATTAGTGGTTCAAACCGATTTCAAGCCGATTTAACGATTAATTCCGATAGCATTTCTATATCAAAGTACCATACCATTTTGTTATTCTTCGCCTATGTATCGCTCAAGAAATCGTTACCATATCATTTAATTCTGCTGATATTGAGCATTGTGCATAAAACTCTATTTATTCAGCAAAAGCGAGTAACATCTGTTTTGGGAACTCAAGTACGGGATTCTTCGTGTTTTATCGTATGGTCACTATGTAGGATGATAAAAATAGATACGTTCATTGCATTGAAGAGAGAGAATCAGAATATGATGGAAATTATCTTATATGACTTGATGAAGGTTGCAATTTTTGATTTTGATCTTACAATACGAAGATGTAGCGTGGCAGTGATCCAGGAATTTGTTGGGAGATTTGGTAATAACTTATTCGGGCCTAAATTTAGCTCTGGAGAGAAAACGGGTCTGTTTATAATAAAGTTAGTTGAAATATTTAATAACCAATCTCTAGGCTCTTTAAATCTGTCATACTCGATGATTCATGAGCTTATTCGTATCGGATATAAACCAGATATTTTTATTTCTTGCTTATTAAATAACATACAAGACGATGATAACAGCTTTGATGTGAAAAGGTTGAATTCTTATCATTTGGCTAAGATTTACAAAGACGATATGTCCACCGATTTCGATTTTGACTTTTTAAAAGACTTTTATAGTACGAACTCTCTTCAAACATTATTGTCAACTCTCACCATAAGAATTTTAGAGTCAGGTAGCTCGCTATATGCCTTTTCCGAACTTGCAGCAATTTCGCCTACCACTTCGTACCGCTTTGTTTCTGAGGTAGCAAGTTACTTAGAGGAGAATTTCAAGTTTGATCATCATCATGACACGAATGAAAAAGCAGAAGGATACATAAAGTGGATAAATTGTTGTATGATAATTAATTTTCCAAGGATCAGCTTTAATGCGGTATGGAGAGAAATATTTAGTATAGTGAAAACTAAGTATTCTTTTGGTATAGCAGAAGAGTTTAAGAAATTCTTTAACCTTCTTTCTGAAAGAAATGAGATAATCTCATTTGATTTGACAGGTTTAGCTCGTATGGTTGAAAATAACAACTTTATTGTTGCACAATCTTTGTTTTATTATCGAAATTTTTCAAGCAACGATAAATTCTTTTTGATTAATTTAATTCAAGAGAAGGGAATCGACTGTGATACCAGGTCGATCATGATTGAAAGCTTGAGTGAAAACTTGGAAAAATGGGATCTTGACTTCTCTAATTTGTCAATATTAATCAACATGTTAGATGATTATACTATAACGAATCAAGGAGATGTTGGCTCGAAGGTAAGACTTTCCACGATAAACTTAATAAGAAATAATGTATCAATATTTATTCATAAAATGGATGAGATTGAAGTCAAACTATTGAGAATTTCAGGAGAATTAATAGACAAGCTAAGAATTGAATCCACCAAACTAATTAGCATGATAAAAATGAAGCCATTTCTGGATATCGACAACAGCAACAACTACAAGTTCTTGTTTGAATACTACAGAAATGAGGTATTAGTAAATAAGGACCAATCTAAACATACGGCTGAGCTATCGATTAACTTTTGGCGAGGAATTGTATTCAGCTTAGGTGCATTGACTATGACCACCTCGATCACTAATGAGGCTTTCCTCCAACTACTTGCATTCTTAGAATCCTTAAATGAAGAGGATTATGATTTTGTATTTAAGGAATTTCTAAAATTATTAAGAATACCGACTGGAAGGCCAGTAAACACTTTGAGTACTAGAGAGCTTAAGGTTTATATGATGACACTCAACGTAATTGTAAAATTATTTGAATCTAACACAGTGTTTCCGCTTAACTTTGATTATCAGCTATTATATGTAAGATGTTATAACTTGCATATCAACACATCGAATGTCTTGAGAATAGGTATAATATTAAAGATTTTCCAATACTTAGGAACGTTACAATCGCAAACCGAAGTAAAACTCAAAGCTCAAACAAGGGTATGCTGGTTATGCTGTCACCATCCTCTTGAACGAGTTAGAAGCATGGGTAGCGAGACGCTTTTCGAAATTCTTAATGAAATATCCCCCAACAATGATTGTATATCCATGTTAGACTCCGTGGATTGGAAAGATTCACCTACAAATTTAAAAAAATATTTCAAATACTTCAAGCAAACAATTACAACCCTATAGATACTATATATATTTACAGATAACTAATAATGTAATGCCCAGTTATATTAGAATACAAACTATAGATTCATACACATTGAATTCTTATTTGTCTGTAGCCTAGCTACTTGTTAACATTGATTGAAAATATAGTCCGACTCCGAATGTAATCGAACATATGTAAAATCACGTGTGGTAATTTTGCTACTGACAATATGGAATGGAAGAATACATATTTATTGAATATGATAGCTAAAATAGACTTATATATCAATTGTGTACTATAGAAGTTATTAATAAATAGTTGCATTTTTAGCACCATTTTAGGATGATTTTTACTAAGTATTGACCACTCAAGTAATGTACGTTAATTATGAGTACATCTCCATTTATTAAGATTCGTTCTTAATTTGTATTCCTATTTCGTTTGGATTTCTTAAAATTCTTGTTCAACTCCCCTATTGATAATCAGTATCCCTGACATGATTATAAATGGTTCTTACATTGATTTGTTTAAGAATCATTATTTTACTCTGGTGGTGACACAAAACCAGCATGTGTTCCAATTCTTACTATGCAACCCATTACAATCCCACAATCAAATTATCCGACGATTGGTGGAATGTTTCATCGGTGATATGACGATGGTGAGTTTTACTATGGTCCAATTCCTTCCCTGTATTTGTTACTGTAGTCTCAAGATTTGCATCGTCCATAGGTTGATTAACAGCTTCACTTTCATATGAATTCTTGCATTCAGTGCTTTCAGTGCTTTCTGAATTTTTGGAGCTAGTGTTAAAATAATCAGCAAATTTTGTAAAAGGCATTCTAATTTCGTGGGTTTGTATCGAAAAATACTTGTAAATATTTTTATAAAACGATATAAAGGTCTTTTATGGATCAATTTATATTGTTTCTTGAATCTGGAAAATGCGGGGACTATATTTTAATATTCTGATTATCGATTATTGTGACAGCATTAGATTTGTAAGGCTCGGTATCTCTAGGCTATATTTGCTTGCTTACCAATGCGTGATACAATATACCGTTAGTTTCTTAATTTGAGAGAGCTTTTAGGTGCGGCAATATGATATATACGCAGTCCACGTTACTAAGAGGTCACTTGGTATTTAGCGATAACCAAGAGGCTGAGGAATATCTGATATATAATCATGTTTACTTTATTACGTAAGCAATAGAGTTCTTAGATTATTGCAAAAATGATTAGGGTTAAAGCATTATGAAAGGTAATGTAATGGATACATATATATTTTCATATTTAGATACTATTGTACAGATATATTAGTGGGTGTTGTTATCAACCGTACCGGATGGTGCCACATGCTGATTTGTAGGACTTGCAGAATTTGCATTGTACTGCCAAGAAGAAGAATTGGACTGATTATTATTCTTACGGGGATGTTTCATGTTGATTAAATCGTTAACTGCGAGTCTTTCTTTCTTTACGAGATCGTTCAGTCGATCATCTTTCAGTCCTATTACTGAAGGAGTGCGCGAGTTGATTGTATAGGGAGGACTGGTAGAAGTATGAATAGGAAAGGTATCTTCGCCTAATAGGAAATCGAATTTGGACATGGACGGAATCTTTTGCATTCCGGGAGTGTTATAGGATGAATTTGAATTGGTAGATGAGGCTGAAGTATAGAAGTTATTGTCAGTAGATAACTTATTTATAGACTTAGGTCTTGGTGCATTTTCTATGGTAGAAGCCTCTGAACCAGATACAGTACTTTTATTTCTGCCATCAATACTCTCCATCAACGATGGCAAACTTTGGCGGTGTATAGATCTTTCTGGGTTTGAAATTTCAACATTTGGTTGATTGTTATTCGATGCTAAGACTTGAATCTTATATTTAATAAATTTCAATATTTTTAAGTATTTCAAGTCCTCATCCATATCTTCGTCATCCCAGTCGATATCAAACCCATTATGGTGCGTTGCATCTTCATCCATATCTTCATCATCACTCTCATCATTATTTCTTGGTTCTGTTAAAATCTCATCCTTAAGCTCATCGTTAATTAACTTCAAGAAAAGTTCATCTTCTTTGTTCTTCTTTACTGGCTTGTGCCTATTGTTAGTCTCGTAATTAATAAATATTTTAACAAACAAATCAATGCTCTTGTTCAATAGATTAATTATTTCAGGAGCTATGACACCTTTCTTCTTGGCAATTTTAAGTTGGCAAATCAATAAGTATAACATCTGTAAAATAATAGACTTTTTCAAATTAATTATAGTCATTGACAACCCATTCAACATATAATTGAACAAAGAAGGCGGAACTTGCTTAACTTTTCTGTCTCGTTGATCAAGTGGAAATTGCGAACTAGTTCTCCTTCTCTTCACAGAAAAATCATTGATAACAAAGCCATCGTCATCAACATCTAATCCTAAACTATCCATAATTATATTATTATTGCTTTTCGTTTTCACTTCCCCAGAGCTATTTTCCCATGTTTCCATAGATTGCCCAATGTGCTCAAATACCAATAAAAAGTATGCTAAAACTTCAGATGAAATATTTGCTATCTTCATATAATAAGTATTTGTTAATTCTTTATCAATAACAAAATTCAAATAATTCATCGACCGAATCAATAGATAATGGAAATTTAATTGTATTTTAATTAATTGAGATGCAGTGTAAATATCTGGTAAGCCCGTATTCAAATAATTCATTATTCCTTCTTGAGTTATACCAGAAGAATTTTTGATATTAGATACTGACAATTTCTGATATAGATTGTTAGTTGTCACGTCTGATATTATTGGCAATTTTAAATATTGGTGTAATGGTTTCAAATCTATCTTCTTATCCTTTAATGAATATCTCCAATTGGATAAATTCTTATCAATGGTTAAAAATTGAGTGAAATTGTAGTTCAAATTTCCATCATTTCCATCACCGTCGTCATCATTTAAAATCCAATCCAAATGTTTGGGATTCTTCTTCTGTGATTGTTGGTGGTTCTGATTACTACCATTTTTTAAATATTGATAATAATTAGGTGAAAAGGATGAAGGTATAATAATGTTCACCAAATTTAAAAATTCTGTACTAGGCTTTAGTAACACTTCGAATAGGTCATCCAATCCATCCTCTTTCGTCTCAAGCAACAGGCTTAGTTTTTCTGGAGTTAATTCGAAATACCTTTCAATAGTAACAGGGTTGATAACTGTGGTATTCAAACTTGGTTTAAATCCAAACTTTAGATTGAAACATTTTAATAATACTTTGAAAACCCAAAACATTTTTACTCTATTTCTCTTCTGTTGCAAGTTTAACGTCAAATCATTAAAGAATAAATTTTTAGAATTTAAATTTATCCCCAAAATACCAATAAATGAATTAACTAAAGATGATAGCACTAACGATTTCTCTTTGTTGTTTGTTAATAATGAATAGTATAAAAATAATAAATAAGTTTGCAATTGAGGAATTGAAACATGAAATACATTAAAATATGGCAAAAAGTCATACAATGATCTTATCATTGACGCGTTGGATTTTCTGTCTTCCTTTAAGTTGTTGCTATTAGAAAATTTAGGTTCAACATGATTCAACAATAAGTTTAAATTGATAGTTGGATCGTTCATCATTAACATAGCATAAATTTGAACAACAATCATTAAATATTCACTCACAACATGATAATCATTATTCAGAATATTAAAGCCATTAATAGTTGCATCATCGTACGTGAACATGAATGGATACATTGTATGGAATTCGTCATAGGATTTCATGAACTGCTTTATATCAAAAATTGGTATGAAGACATTATAGTTGAGAAAGAAGTGTAAGATCTGGTTATCAAGTTCTTTCTTGCTGCTTATTATTTTCTTAAAGTTATTAATTAACTTGATGAATAAATCATAAATATCCATGGGTAGTTGACTATTCGTTAAGTTAGACATTTCTCCGGGAATTCCATCATGTTGAGAATTGTTAGCTGTCAATGGATTATATGGAACATCGAGATCCCTGTTTTGAAACTGGTTATACATGGCATAAGATGGGTGGTATAAATAGGAATTAGGGTCATTTAACAAGAAGTTGTGTGAATTAGTAATTTTTAAAAAAGGCAAATTCAAGTTTATCAATAAATGATTGAATTGTGATTCAAAATTCAAATTATCATTACCAATAATAATACCTTTATTGTCCAAATTAAAAATCTGATCAATCGGGTTATTAATTTGAATTGCATTATTTTGATTTTTTGTAGCCGTACGGTCATCATTTTCATTGTTTGCCTTAACATCATCAGCTTCCCGTTGTCTACGCATGAATGTACCACCATTACTTTCTTTCTGTTTCTCATTTGTTTCCTCGTCTTCCTCGTTTTCTCCATATTTGAGTCTTAATTGTCTGTTTTGCTCTTCTAACTCACGTAACTTTTTCTCCAAGTTTTCAGTATAGCCCTTGGGAAATGCTCTTCTCGTCAATTTATCACTCGTTTTGCAATCAAATCCTATCTTCGAACAATTATGGCATGGAGTTAGCCCGTCACATTTTATCTTCTTGATCCTACATCTGTCACACGCTTGAGATACTCTAACACCGGATGTAGTTTTTATTAACTTCAAATTAGCCACCTCTTTATCCTTTTTTGTTTTGGGCTTCTGCGTATCTGATTCTTCAGACATTGAAAGTGACATTATCTAGCTAATCATCAAATAGCTCTTTATTAATCGCTTCCTTTAAAATAAATATATACAAAACCTCTAAACAGCTAAAGATCGGTCCACAGGAAGAGAATCTACCCCAGGATAGAATCACCTCGGCGAAAAGGAAAATCGGTCACAAAACCAGATTCTCAGCAAATGTTACTGTTTACAATTAATACGACCTGGATTTTAGCACGGCTTAATTTCGCAATATACTCACATAGAAGAAAGATTGCTTTTCACTAGCTAATTAAATTTACTTATATAATTGCAATATGTGGTTTATAGCATAATAATTTGCCTAATATATATGCAACATCGACAGGAATAAGTTTCATTTGGGCAAGCGATTCGGCAGAACGGGCTCAGTGATACGTGAGCACCCGAAGGTGTCTTCGCTGTTAGCTGTGTAAGACATACGTGTGTCTTGTGATTGTGAACCCCGCAATTTTTGTGTTAGCTAAAAAGCTGTGGGTATCCCGCATATAGTTAACCCAAATAAAATACTCAACAGATGAGCAGCCTGGCTAGCTCAATCGGTAGAGC